GTACCTTGAAATTCACTCTTTTTATGCGGGTTTGCGTTTGATTATGCGTACAGCCATCCATGTGGGCATCTGACAACTGGTCAGCTTTCTAATCTTTAGTTATCGAAGTGGAGTACGCTGATGATTGTTCTAGATTTTTTTAATAATCGGGCAACTGCAGAGCCCGAAGTTTCATGAAGTTACTTTGGCACTGCTGGGTTTCTCTTCAATGGACTGCCGATACAAAAAATGGGACTTTCTTTCGCCCTTCCCGTAGAGTCGTCCATACCCGGGATGTGTCGATCACAATCGCGTGGTTCGCCGCAAGTGGCGCATATGTTCTCCGACCGAACTTCGATTTGCTTCTTTTATTAAATGATCAACATCTTATCTCTACTGAATATATCTCCCTCGACTTTCTTCTCTAAGTATAGTCTCCTGTCAGAAAGTCCTCTAAAGCCCAAGGTCCATCTGAACCAGCAGTAAGGCCACCCTACTTGTACAACAAGCTCGTATCGATTGCCAGTCGCGCAAACGCGCACTATAAACCGACTTCAAACAACGCGGAAAACGATGAAAAATTGTAATAATCTTTCGTAGTTATTTCTTTTTATTCTTCTCTTCAATTGAGCGATGTCTACTCAGTCAATTCTTGTAGGGTCAATCTAGCACATCAGATTCGGTATCACTTGGACAGCCAACACGTCAGGGATTCTTCCGGAAATATCGTAAAATGAGGCGAAACAAGAAAAATGCCTCAATGTCACAGTTGAATATGTAATTCATCTGATGGTTTTCACAAGGAACTTGCAATTTCTTAGCTCTTTAGCAGAATTTTAATAACACGTGTACCAGTAATACTATTAGGTCGGTTGTATTGTTAGATTTGAATGAGCTCCAGAATAGCTCGGCTAATTATTTGTTGTAGATAATTGTGATCCGTTTCCGTCTGAAATTTCTTCATTTCTATAGCATATACAATGGCACAATAGTAAAGCACAATAGTTGCATAGAATTGAATGATGACACACACACGAAGTCAATTTGTCACCCATGCTTGACCAATACGAGTAATGTTAGATTTCTCCATAATATGGAATTAGCTATTCTAATAAACTTCTATACCAGCTTGTTCTGAACAGAATTCGATCAATACGAGGGCAGAACGTTACTTTTTGCTTTGATACGTATTCACAAGCACAAATACGGTCATGTGTACAAAAGAACGTGCAGCCGCAATACGTGAAAGTTAGGCGCGCGGCCATGCGAGCGGCTGCCATTGAGCAGTCGGGCTGGCACCTACTGTACCGCTTGGCTTTCACGTATTGCGACCGGATTTTGGTCTACGAGAGTATCCGGGAATAAAAAGAGAATATTTCATTTTGAAGTTCAAGAATTTGAAAGTGTTATTATGGCTACTTGTAGAAGTCCGTTAAGGATCGTAGGTAGCGCTCGAACTTGTGTAATTGACGGCATAGACCACGTTTGAATTCCCTGTTGAAGACAGTGTAAATGACAGGATTGATACCGGAGTTGCCTGAAAGGTTTTGGTTGCTATTTGGTTGATTTACCATGCATTACAATGATCTTCAAGTACTGAATAAGACCTACAGTATCCGAGCCAGAAGAAGAATTTGAATACGACGGCCGGGGCTTCGTATCCAAACGCTCCGATCACATACATCACCTGTAACATGTTCAGTTAGTCACAGAATTACCTAAATAATGTTTTTCAAGTAAATTTCGAAGAAAAAGTGTTTTGCTAATTAGCGTGGCTCTTAATCCACTGGAGCAACTAGGGCCCATTCTACTGTGGTATGGACTTATGGCGCAAGTTCAGTTCAGGGGTCTGCTTCTTGAAGGAATCCAGAGAACACAAATATCCTTGGGTTAGATAAGACAAGTGGGAAAGAAGTGGCGTCGTTGGAGCACTTGGGATCGCCTCATTTCGTTAGATAAGTACAACCTAAACCTAAGTAGAGCCTCTACAGAACCCCCGAAAACAGGATAATTAGACAGAGAGCTCATGTAATCTCAGCCATGTAGGGAATCACTAGGTAAAATGGATCGCAGAGGGATTGGAAACTGGTTGAATATAGATACTGTGTGTATCATATTCATCACCGATCAGTTTTGTTTCAGTCATGAAGGAAGTTTTTTGTTTTGAGCGCTGATTGACCCCATTTTCAAAAAGCTCTTGTTTATCTAGGGTTCATTTAGAATCATAACGCTGGACGGCGAGTTCAGCTACTAACCTGTGGAGGCCGGCCGACTTGAATAGAAGTCAGGGTTTTCGTCTTC